AAGAGGAAAAAATGGGTTTTGCTTTGTCCTTCAGGCTGTGCCTCTGCCCTGGCTGCCCCTGGGCTGACTGGCCCTGGGGAGGGGAGCCGGCCCCTGGGCACGTTGGTGTCTGTGCAGTGTCAGGACCATGAAAGTGATGGAGGAAATCAGAAATGCGGGTGCAGAGCAGCAGTCTGGCGCTCCTGCCTCATTGCTGCTGTGAGCGCGGGGCCGGGGGCCGAGGCAAAGGGGACTGAGTCTCCATCAGAGGCACCCGCAGGCGGTGCACATTCACAGCGACCATGGAGAGCCTGAGGCTGGGACCTACTGGTGTGGGATAAGCACATTTGGATATGACTGGGGCGGGGGAGGGCGTTTCCCATGAACGTGACTGTTCTCCCAGGTGGGTACCTGCTGGGATCTCTGCATGGCTACAGCAGTGCGGGTGAGGCTAAAGGGGGGATGGGGAATTAAGAGAAACACTTGAGGGCAGGATGTTCATATCCCTACCTGGCCCCAGAGGTGATTCCCTGCTCTGACTCACCTCTGGTGGGCCACGGACGTGGCCTGTGAGGGCTGAAAGGGCCTGGTCCTATGGACGTGTTTGAGTTTATTGTCTGTGTGAGGATTACACCTCCCAGGCGGCCACAGAAGCTCCCTCCCGTGGATCAACTTGAATGAATCACAGGCACAAGTGCAGGCCCAGAGTGGCTAATGGAGCCAGCAGGCAATGTTCCTTCTAACCTTTTCCACCCATGTACAGAATATTTTTTTTCTGTGCACCAAGGCAGGTGCAAACGTGCACCACCTGTAGAGCCACATGTTGCTGGAGCTGCTGATCAGCTGGGAGGCATTTGAATCTCTCCTAAGTGGCCACCCAAGCACACAGTTTACAGGGAACCCTGCAAGCAGGGAGGGTCTAGGGTAGAATCAAAGAGGTTCTAAGTGGCATAGGAGGAGAGCAGTACCAGAGCGCAGGAAATGTTGCCTGCAGCTCCTGAGCCCCATGGATGTTTCTTTAGGATGTGGCTCTGCTCTGAAAAAAAACGGCACCTTGATGGTCTCCCAGAGATTCCAGGTCAAACACGCTCCCTTTCCAAGTACTAAGGTGTCTGCTTTCTAGCTCAAGGCCCTTTGCAAACCTGGGAACGGTGTGCCAAACCGGGCTGTTTCCTATCAGCTCATCAACACCAGGAATAACAATTCTAACAATGTGCCATGAATATTCATTCACCCTTTTTAATGAACTCACACCAGCCCTGGTCATGCTCCATATCTGCTTACTTTCCATGGGCATTCATATGACTGAGCTTCTCTGGGGAAGCATTTTCCTAAAGCAAATTTTACATTTGCCTGTGTAAGTATTTGTCAATCAGACAAACTTTTGTTGGAACTCAGTGGGCCAATCACAACTTTGCTACAATGGCAAATATCAACTTTTCACATAGGTAAAATTTACTAGAGGGCAAAGAGACAGTTTCACTTGGGCCATCTAAGTCTCTTTTTACAGCATCTATTTAGAGAGGAGATGGCCCCAAACCATGAAATGTGGATTTAGATTTTGCATCCCACAAGGTTCGTGATGTGTGTCAATGTTGTGTTTTGGTTCAGGCCTTTACAGGCACAGGGGCCAACTACAAAATTCAGATCCACATTCTCTCCTACATGAACTCCCATGTTTGGGACAGGGAGGGGATCTTGTGTTTTGTTTGAGCCCACACCTGATTTCAAGGAAAACTGTATAGAAGCTACTTCAAATCAATGCAGTTACCTTTCAAGAGAGAAAGCCCCTTACATGTAATAAACATGAACTGTTAACTGCAAAGCTACAATCTCAAGTGTATAATGTCGAAATAATATCGAGCTGGAGGACTTCTTACTCCAACTCCTGTAACCCTCATTGTATGAGGAGTAAGGGAAGTTAGAGGAAGAGTGCTGTGTAGACAGTGCCAAAAGAAGCTATTTTAGCTTAAGCTAGGCAATTGAGGTAGCTTGAGTTGTGTAGTTTATTTCAGCTTTAGCCCTGCTGTGTAGACATACCCGGGGAGACAGGTAAGTCCACAGTACCCCCATTCTACAGCAGGAGTGACTTATCCCAGCTTGCAGAGTCAAGATCAGCATCGGGAGTAGAAGTCAGGAGTTCCTGATTCCCATTCCTGTGCTCAGATCTCTAGGGCCACAGCTGTAAGGGAAGTTCTATTATCTGGGCAGAAAGCATGCATGTGGTATGTGTTAAACTGCTGTAACACTGCAGGGATCAAAGCCAGTGTCCTACACAAATCCAGTTGCTAAGTCACCTTTTCGCTCTGCCTTCTTGCCTGCAAACCAGCGGCGGGGGGGCAGGGAAGGAGGGAGGAAGCTGGTGAGAACTGAGCAAAAGGAAAGGAGGTGGCCAATAAGAAAAAGAAAGCAGAAGTGTTTGGGTGCCA